TTCTAAACAAGGTTTCTCTTTGTAGCCTTGGCTGTCCTGGAACTCACTCTGTAGACCAGGCTGGCCTTGAGCTCAGAGATCCGCCTGCCTCTGCCTCCCGAGTGCCCAGACTAAAGGCATGCACCACCACTGCTCAGCTAAGATCTTTGGTTTTGTTTTTTTTTTTTCTTCATAAATGAGAAAACAGGCTGAGCAAATACCAAACCTCCACATGGGACTTTTCCCTCCTACTTTTATAATGAATATTGTCTATTGGAAACCTCTTATTTGAAGCCCAGCTGGGATTAAAGGCATGCACCACCACTGCCTGGCTAAGAATTCTATTTATGTGGTTTGCCTACAAGTATGTCTGCACCACGAGCATGCCTGGTGTCCAGGGAGGCCAGAAGATGGTGCTGAGTCCCCTGGATCTGGAGCAGTCATATGGGTTCTGGGAACTAAACAGGAGTCCTCTGGAAAACAAATGGTGCTTTTAACCACTGAGCCCATCTCTCCAGTCCCTCCGAGTACTTTGTATTCAACATATTAGCTTGATAACATGGTTTATCGTTGAGTGGCTTGGGGAGGTCTTAGTAATTCTAGGCATTAATCCCTGTCAGTGTATGAGTGGCAAAGATTTCCCTCTAATTCTCTAAACTATCCCTTCACTATGCTGGTTTCCTTTTCTGAGTTTCTGTTTGCTTTTAAGACAGTGTCCTGCTCTGTCACTCAGGCTGGCTTTGAATTTACTACGTAGCCCAGGTTGGTCTCAAACTCAGACCTTCCTGCTTCAGCCTCAGAAGTGTTGAGGTTACATGTGTATGCAATCCCATTTAGGCCAGCTGGCTTTTCAGGAACAAAGTTGTGATCCACTGTGTAGATCGTAAAGCCAACAAATGCGTCTCAGGGGTAACTTTCAGGAGTTGGTTCTCTCCCATCATGTGGGTTCTAGGATTGAATTTGGGTTATCAGGCTTGCCTTGAACCCGGAACCATCTTGTCTGGGCCCTCTGATTTGCCTTTTAGTTTGGGCCCCTGTCCATGGCATGGTGCCATCCACATTCAGGGCCAATCTTCCCACCTCAGCTACACCTCTATGGAAGGTCCTCAGACATGCCCAGAGGTGTGTCTCCTGGAGGGGTTGAGATCCCAGCGGGCTGCCAGCAAAGATTAACCACCACAACCAATAATAAATTACTTAGGAGAGATTTCCTCTGCCCGTGAAATGGTTAAACCTGGCTGATCAGACTCTAGCCTAAAGATGCCCAGAAGGATGTAGGCTCTGCAGGAACAGGAATTAAGTGAAACAGTCAAAATTGTCAGTGAAGAGCTGGGGGCCACGCTCAGCAGTAGAGGGGTTACCTAGAACCATTGAAGAACTGGGGGGTGGCTGAGCATCGGCACGCTTACTTAGCATAGGAAGGCTCAAGGTTTGGCTGTCAGCAAACAATACTGTCAGTTCAAGCTAATTTTAGAAAACTACAGTCTTCATCATTTTTATTATGTGAGTACAGGCACATGGGCTACAGTGTTTGCCACAGAATTTCAGCCTTCAGTCCTCGCCTTCCACCCCAAGACACGGTTTGTCGGTGCCCAAAGCTGCAGAGGGTCCCGCTGTCTGACTCCCAGCTCACTGTAGGAGAATTAGATGTGAGTGCTACAGTGCCCAGAGTGAAATGGGTTCTGGGTATCCAAACTCAGGTATTTACGATTATTTGCCAAGGGCTTTTCCTATTGGGTCACCTCCCCAGCCTTCCTCCATTATAATTCTTGTGGTTCCTAGGGGTTGAACCTATGGCCCAATCCTGTGCTAGGTAGCTAGGTAACGCTGGTCACAACTCCCCCATTCAGTTATATCCGCAACCCACTTCCTTCACCTTTAAACCCTCTCTAGTCCCAAGCCTGGGAACCCAGCCCAGCTACAGTTAGCTCGGTGGCTGAGCCTCCAGTCTTCCCAAGAGCACGCTGTAACTATTGGGCTTCCGTGATACACGCAACAGATTCGATTGATGCCACACTGTAGTCCAATGTGCGTTCTTTTCCTGTGCCCACGCACTTGTGCCCTTCCCTCCTGCTCCTGTCCAAGCACACACAGAATCACACAAGGAAGCAGAGGCCGTGGGAAGCCCGGCACCAACACAACTCGATACTTTTATTGTACAGGACAAGGAGGATTCACGTCTTGGCTCTCCATTTAGTCCTCTAGGCTGAGGGAACATGTGTTTTCTTACAAGGCTCTGACAAGAGGTCCATGCCCAGAACAAGAGCCATACGAACCAGCAGCAACCTCAGCCACACGGAGCCTGGATGCGTGTGTGTGCAAAGGAATTGATGGGTGAGTCTGCTTCGATTACTTGGGTGTGACCCTGAAGACCCGGATGTGGATGGCTGAGTTGTTCCGGATCCTGGTCAGTGGCTCTCGGGAGTCGGTCTCTGGTTCCAGCTCATCCACCAGCTCCACGGTGGAGGTATTGGCAGCCACCTGGAGGGACCCAAAGCTGCCTGCCTGCAGCTGCAGGGCGATGTTGATGGCGCGGTTAATGGCCAGGCCCAAGCCGTGGATGTAAATCTCAGCGCATGCGTTCTGCCCTCGACTGCCTCCGTCCAGCAGCTTTTGGCAGCGGGCTAGCTGGGCCTTAAAGTCAGTCTTCATGTTGACATAAATGTCATTGGGCCTCCGGGGCAGGCGGTGAGGAAGTCGTTTCCGAAGGGTGTACTCCACGGGGTCCAGCTCGGCCTCGATGGCACCACGGGGTTCTCTGTTTTCCGCCATGCTTTCGGCCCTGGCATGGAGAAGGAACAGGATTCAGGGAGAATGAATGACAGGAGAACCCTTTCCTGCCCAGCTTCCTACGGGTGCGACCAGAAGGGGGCGCCCGCGACGCCCCTCTTCCTTCCCGGCCTCTCGATCCCCTCCACTTCCGTTCTCTCCACTCCCGGTTTTAATTCGCTCGTCACGTGGTTCCCCACTCCCGGCGTCTCCGCGCCTACCTTCTCTGTTCCACGGTGCCCTTTCGCTCGCGTGCGGCTCGCCGACCGACCCGACTGGACGCCGCCGCCCGCGACCCTCAGAAAAAAAACAATGAAGAAGCGATCGGAACAGGAACGCCGGAGAAGCGCGCCGACGAGGGCGACGCACTGCGCACGCGCAACCCCGTCCCCAAGCCGGAACCGGTCGGCTCGTAGCCTTCCCGGCCTCCGTTCTCCTGCCCACGGCGTTCCTCGCGCGCATGCGCGGGGGCGCTTCAGTCTCGCGAGACTTCCGGACTCTTGGGGGCGGGGCCAGCTGCCAGAGGTGGGGCTAAGAGGGGCGTGGGCCGAGGTCCCCGGTTGCCCTCCTCTCCGCTGGGCGGGACTCGAGGACGCCGGCGGGGGTCGGTTCTGGAGACTGGCAGGATTAGGAAGGGGGGGTTCGGGGCAGTGTAGGAGCTGCGGTCGCCCAGGGGCCGGGAGGCAAGGCTGGAATCCACGTCTGTCGCACGTCTGAGCTGCTCTCCCTCCCCAGATCCTAGCAGCCCCGGACGCAGAGAGAGCGAAGGGCTCGAGAGAAGGCCGGATGTCCACCTTGGCCTCCTCCCTCTGCAGGGGACCCACACTAGGTGCCTAGCGTTTGCAGCTTCCCGCCACACCTCACCGCTGCACGCCGGCTGCTACCCGCCACCCGCGAGTCACGAGGTGCTGCCCTCTGGTGGAAGGGACAGGGACTTGGGTTCCTAGCCCCTTAGTAGTGGGGACCTGGCTCTCTGTCCAGATTGATAAAGCCTTTGGACAGATCCCTACAGAAATGAGTAAAACCTGTATTTGGCCACCTACCTAGGCAGAATCTGAAGGTTGGAAAGAGAACTTTGCTCAGTGCTATACAGCCAAAGATGACCATGAACTTCTGGTCTCCTTGCCTCCACCTTGTGAGTGCTGGGATTAGCGGGCACCATCGACTGACGGACATCCCTAGCCTCCGGGATTTATGTTGAAATGCAAGGCTTGATATTCCAGACATCAATGTGCTTGTTTAGGTGAAGGCTCAGAAAGAGTTGCAGATATAGACCAGAAATCTTTTTGGTGGGGAGGCTAGGGTTTAGCTGTGTAGCTCAGGCTAGCCTTGGCCTCCCCGGTGCTTGTGTTACAGGTGTGCACCACTGTGCCACCTCGATAAAATTTATCCTAAAACTTATGAAAAGGCAGATAAAATAATCTTTCCAAGCTGTTGGGCTCATATTGTCCCAGCAGTTAAGAGCGCTTGCTGCTCTTCAAAGGTGACTCCCGGAGGATCTGAGTTTAGTTCCCAGTATCCAGGCTGGGTAGCTCACAACCACCTTACCTCCAGCTTCAGGAGGCCTGGCATGCTCTTCTGGCCAATGTGGGTGCCCAGACACTCACACAGACACAAACATAAAAAAAAAAAAATTAGGTGGTGGTGACACATGCCTTTAATCCCAGCTTTTGGGAGGCAGAGCCAGGAGGATCTCTAAGAGAACGAGGCCAGAATGGACTATAAAGTGAGTTGCAGGACAGCCAGGGCTACATCGAGAAACCCTATCTTGAAAAGCCAAAAAGAAAAAAAAATAGACATGTACTTTAAAAACCCTTTGTGATGGTTGTGTATACGATGATGGGGCACATGTATGACATTCTGTGGTGGAATTCCTCAACCTTTACATGGGTTCTGGGGTCAAAGGCTCACACAGCGAGCGCTTTGCACTCTGAGCCATTTGCTGGCCCCTTAAGGCTTAACCATGTCAGTACATTCATTAAGAAGAGTGTGCTGCTGGCAGGTGTAGAGATACAAACGTCAATAAAACAGAGATCTCAGAAACACACAAGCACAACAAACCCTTCTGAGAAAGGGTCTCTTCCATCCAGGCTGACATCAAACTTGCTGAGAATGCCCTTGAGGTTCTGGTCCTCCTGCCTCCATCTGCCAAGTGAGGGAATCCGAGGTGTGGGCCAGCACACCTGATTTATGCAGCACCAGGGATGGAGCCCCGCACTTGCTACCATCTCCCAGCCAATCCATTTTTTGACAGAAATGCAAACATAGCACAGTGCGAAAGGATAGTGGTTCGGGTGCTGCCGAAACAGCCCGGGGAAATAACATAGCGCGGAGCTCGGCTGGTGGTACACACCTTTAACCCCAGCACTCTCGAGGCAGAGGTGGGCAGATCTCTGAGTTCGAGGCCAGCCTGGTCTACAGAGTGTGTTCCAGGAAATCCAGGGCTACACAGAGAAACCCTGTCTCGAGAAACAACAACATAGCGTGGGCAGTGGGTCTAAATAAGAAACTGGTAACTATAAAGCATTTGGGGAAAATGTAAGGGAGCCCTTCAAGAGGCTAATCCAGGGCTGGAGAGATGGCTCAATGGTTAAAGAGCACTGACTGCTCTTCCAGAGGACCTGGGTTCAATTCCTAGTACCCACATGGCAGCTCACAACTGACCCGAAACCCGTGGCAAAACACCAATGCAAACACATAAGTAAATAAAATTCCAAGAGACTAGTAAGCAACAAGTCCAGAGATGGGTGGGGGACAAAGATAAAACTACAGTTTGTCAGAATTTCAAGTAAAGCCACCTGCTTTGAAGTCTAAGGACCAGAGCTGGGCTGGGTCCCTTGGGCCCACATAGTAGGAAAGGAAAGTTCAATCCAACAAGTTGTCCTCTGACCTCTACACACATACGCTCCCCAAACACACTCAAAATAAGTAAATGTGAAAATAAAAAGTTACAAACCGTTAAGGCTGGGCATGATGTCTCACATCTGTAACACAAGCACTTAAGCTGAGGTGGGAGGGTTGTCATGAGGCCAGCTTGAGCTAGAGAGCTCCAGACTCCAATGTAAGACACTGTCTCAAAAATTAGACTTTCATGAAAGACCAGAAGAGCAGGAGAACAAGAGGCATATGGTTGGTCCAGGCACTCAGGATCCTGGGCGCGGAGGCATATGGTTGGTCCAGGCACTCAGGATCCTGGGCGCGGAGGCATATGGTTGGTCCAGGCACGCAGGAGGTGAAGGCAAGAGGATAAAAGGTATCCAAGTACCTGGCCTCCAACTTACGGTATAGCCGAGGATAGAACTGAACCTTTTATCCTTGTGTGTGTCATCTTAGGAAAAGTCATCAAGGTTTATCAAGAAAATACTCCAAAAGCCTGGTAGTGCTGGCACCCTTTAATCCCAGCACTCAGGACGCAGAGGCAGGCGGATCTCTGTGAGCTTGAGGCTAGCCTGGAATACAGAGTGAGTGACCCAAGAAGGACCCCTCTGAGCATTTAAGATTTTACAGGGGGAGGGTCTGGTGGTGAACACGTGTGACAGCAGATGGAGGATTGTGAGCGTCAGGCTGGCCTGGCTGCACAGTACGGTGCAAAAACCAAGCCAAGCCAACAGCAAATAGAGTACGCAAGGCTGGGGTGCATCCTGGTGCATCCCCGGAGCAGGCTGGTCCAAGCCCCAGGACTGCAAGACAACAACAGAACCTCAGACAGACAAACAAAAACTCTCCAGGAATGGCAGGAATGCCCACAGTAGGTTTCCAAGGAATAGGCCACAGTTGGAGATGCCGGATAGCTTCCAGATAATACACTGTAAGAAACACAAAAACAAACTGAAATACCCATTGAAAGAACATTTCTGGTTTTTTGTTGTTTTGATTTTTTGTTTTGTTTTGTTTTGAGACAGGGTTTCTCTGTGGCTTTGGAGCCTGTCCTGGAACTAGCTCTTGTAGACCAAGCTGGCCTCGAACTCACAGAGATCCGCCTGCCTCTGCCTCCTGAGTGCTGGGATTAAAGGAGTGCGCCACCACCACCACCACAGAACATTTCTCAGCAATTAGAGCTGGACCAAGGAAACATCTTGAGCTGTGGGGATATTTGTTATTTACGGGGCTGGGAGCACGGCTCAGCGGACGCAGCACTGGCCAAGGGACCCAAATAAAATTTAAAGGCGAGCACAGGGGTGTGCACTTGTAGCCCTGGTGATGCTGAGATGTGAGTAGAGACAGGAAGGTTCCTGTGCCTGAGGCTCACACAGCCCAGGCTTAAATATGACAACTATATTGTGGACCGAACAACTCAATTGCTAGAAGAAAGTTAACTTCTTCCATGATAGGCCCATTATTATATCCATCACTTATAATACAGCTCTGAAGTGTGATGCTGCAGCACTGGGAGGCTGTAGCCAGCAGGACTACTGCAGGTTCAAGGCCAGCCAGGGACACATTACAAGACTGGGTCCCAAGAAACTAAACCAACTGGAAAACAAGCTAATAAAAACAACCAAACAAAAACACTTCACTACCACAGAAGAAAAAAAAAAATCCAAGAACTGAGCAGTGGTGGGTGCACGCCTTTAATCCCAGCACTCAGGAGACAGAGGCAGGAGGATCTCTGAGTTCCGAGTTCTAGGCCAGCCTGGTCTACAGAGTGAGTTCCAAGACAGCCAGGGCTACACAGAGACACCCAGTCTTGCAAAAACAAAAAACAAACAAAAAAAACAAGAACAAAACTCACTCACAAAACAATAAACACAATTTGTAAATGAGTTTTCTATGACTCAAGCTGTGTGTCTTTCCAAGATACTAAAAATCCTGTTTTACAAGTTAGACTTACAGTGGTGGATGCCTGTAGTCCCCAAACTCAGACAGCTGAAGCAGAAGGATTCTTGTGGATTTAAGGCCAGCCTGAGCTACAGAGACAGCTTGTCTCGAGAACACCAAAACCCAACCAACCAACCAACTACCTAAACAAACGCCAGGAATGGGGACATACCTCAGTGGTACCGTACTTTAGTATATCTGAAGCTCTGGGTTTAGTACACACTGCTGTCAAAAAAGACACCGTGTGTGTACACGTATATATACCTAACCAACCAACCAAAAAACAAACATACATGTAAAAATACACACACACATAACACGTGGACAATGAGAAGGTACTCGGTGCCAAGGTTGATGATCTGAGCTTGAATCTAGGGTTGCCAACTCCTGCAAGTCATTCTCTAACTGCTACATGTGTGTCACGGCAGGTTCACACGCACACTGAACACATACACACAAAAGTTAAAAAGATTAAATCCCTATCTGGCTTTACAACAGGAATCAAAGTTCTCAACCAAAGTTTGGTTTTCAGGCTTTTCTGGGTTTCTTCTCCCATCGCTTTGCTCCACTGTATTCTCCAGTGCGTGTCCATCACTCACATTTTCCTCCTTTCTTAACCAATGATCACCCACCCTGCTTTTCACCTCCAAGTCTAGTCCCAACAAAGGTTGCCTTTCTCGTGTGTGTGTGTGTGTGTGTGTGTGTGTGTGTGCACGCATGTGCGCGCGTGCTGGCACGGATGGGATTCAGGGTCTTGCACAAGATAAGCAAGCACTCCACCACTGAGCCACACCCCGGCCCCTCACTGGGGGATTCTAGGCAGGGGCTCTACCACTGAGCCACACCCCAGCCCCTCACTGGGGGATTCTAGGCAGGGGCTCTACCACTGAGCCACATCAGTGGCCCCAATGAAAGCTTCAGATGAAACTATTAGGAGGACTAGAGCAGTGGTTCTCAACCTTCCTAACACTGCAACCCTACAGTACAGTCCTTCACATTGTGGTGACCCCCAACCATAAAACTATTTTTTTTTTTTTGTTTTTGTTTTTCGAGACAGGGTTTCTCTGTGGCTTTGGAGCCTGTCCTGGAACTCGCTCTGTAGACCAGGCTGGTCTCGAACTCACAGAGATCCGCCTGCCTCTGCCTCCCGAGTGCTGGGATTAAAGGCATGTGCCACCATCGCCCGGCTCATAAAACTATTTTTTTAGATTTATTTATTATGTATACATAATAATGTATACATAATATAATAATATAATAATTTATTATGTATACATAATAAATAATACATACATACATTCCTTCTGTGTGTGCCTGCAGGCCAGAAGAGGGCACCAGATCTCATTACAGAAGGCTGTGAGCCACCATGTGGTTGCTGGGAATTGAACTCAGGACCTCTGGAAGAACACTGAGCCATCTCTCCAGCCCCCATAAAACTATTTCGTTGCTACTTCATGACTGTAATTTTGCTACTGTTACGAATCATAATGTAAATATCTGTGTTTTCTTATGGTCTTCTGGTGTTGCCACCCACAAATCGAGACCCGCTACCCTAGACTGGAGGATGGCTTACAGAGGTGCTGGGTTTAGTTCCCGTACTCTTCTCAGGCAGCTCACAGCCCCAGCTTCAGGGCATTGGGTGCCCCCTCTCAGCTTCCCTGGGCACCTGCACTCACGTGCACACGTCCTTACACAGACACACATGCAGCAAGAATAATAAAAACCCAGACAGTACTGGGGTTCAAGCTGAAGATCAGAAAGGCAAAACATCCAACTATAGAGACCTTTTACCCCTACCAATCTTCACACTGAAAGGGTGAGAGCCAGTCTCCAGGATTCTCAGGCTCCACCTCCACTGGTTCCAGTCCCTTCCCCTTTATATTCCTTTCTCTACCTCCCTAGTGCTGGGATTAAAAATGTTCGACACCCAAACTCTGGGATTAAAGGTGTGAGCCACACCTTTAATTTGTTTCTGAATTGATCTTGTGCAGCCCAGGGTAGCCTTGAAATCAGAGATCCACCTGCCTCATCTCCCCAAACCTGGAATTAAGGGTGTGTGCCACCCCTGCCTGGCCAGTATGGCTGACTAGTGTGGCTACTTTGTCTTCTGATCTTCAGGCAAGCTTTATTTATTAAAGCACAAATAACAGACCACTATAGACACATTCACAGAATTACATTTTAAAATTTTCTTTTTAAAAAGAAGAAAAGGGTTCCTGAGTTGATTCTATCTTTACTGCTTTCGGCTTGGAACAAAATTATGATCCTTTTGTGTATTTAGTTTTTTTGTTTGTGTTTTTAAACAAGGGCTCGAGTTGCCTGGGCAGGCCTTGAACTCCCAGCCCTCCTGTCTCCACCTACTTCCTAACTACTAAAATTGCAGGCTTGTACTCCCAACCCCCAAACCTGGCCAGTCCTCCTTGGCACAGAGGCTAATGGCACTTACCAGAAACAATGTTCAAAACTGTGTCCAGCATGGGGTGCATGCCTGTAAAGGGAGTCAGAGGCAGAAAGATCACCAGGATTTCCAGGGTAGTGGAAGGGCCACCGGGCTACAGTATGTAAGACTGTTTCAAAAACCAAGCCACTGGGTGGCAGAGGTAGGCAGGTCTCTCCGTTCAAGGCCAGCCTGGTCTACTAGCAAGCTCGAGTCCAGCCAAGGCTACGTAGTGAGACCCTATCTCAAACAACAAACCAAAAAACCACAACAGAAGGGGAGAAGGAAGGAAAGGAGGGAGGGAGAGAGGAAACAAACTTCCAAAGAAAACCATGAAGGCACCCACCAAACATTTACACCCACCAGAGTTCATCAGCCTTAAAAAAAAAAAAAGTCATTCCTGAATCTTTCTATTTTTCAAACACACTCTCAGAGGTAATAATTGTAACCGAGGCTGGCCTTGCACTCCTGACCCTTTTGTCTTTACCTCCCAAGTGCAAGGATTATAGCATGCACCACCTTCAGCTTTCTTTGGTTTATTTTTTTGAGCCCAGGTCTCGCGCCCAGGCTGGCCTGGAAACTGCTCCTAAGCGCTGGAGTGCAGGATGTGTTCATTGGCTCGCTGAGACAGGGTCTTCCTCTGTAGCCCAGGCTGGCTTTGAACAGCCGCTCCTCCTGCCCACCAGGAAATCCTTTCACCCCGACCGCTTCTAAATCACTGCGCGCTCGCGTTTCCCCCCCAAACCCGCACGGTGACCCGGGGACAACTCTGCATTGGGCAGTCTCACCTCTAACCCAGGCGGGCTCCCTGGAGGAGGCGGGGCTTGGCCAGGAGAGGGCGGGGGAAGTGGGGACCCCCCCCTCCCCAAGCCTCAGGTTGCACGGGCACCCCGTCACGTGACGAGCGCGGGAAGGGGGGGTGCACTCCCGGGTCAACGTGTCCGGGAGTGGGCGGCGGGGTGCAGCGCGGCCGGGTGGGGGGGACCCCGGCGGGCGGGTCGGAGTCCGAGAGCGAGGTGGCAGGGGGAGCCGCGGCCGCGGTGGCGTTGGAGGGGGCGGCCCCGCGTCCGTGTCACGTGGTACGAGGCGGGCAGCCATCTTGCTACAAACACAAACAGAGAGGAGCGGCCGCCGCGGGAGCGCCAGCGCCCGCCAGTCCCCCCCCACCCCCCCTTGCCGCCGCCGCCGCCGCCGTCCCGGCCCCGCCGCGCGCCACCCGCCCGTCACCGCCAGCCCCGCGCCCGGGTCGCCAACGCCCGGGGGGACCGGGAACCTCGCGCCCCCGGTAAGCTCTGCGAGCACCGGAGCAGGCCCGCCCCCGACGCCAGCGGCGGCCGCCCGGGAGCCTTTGCGGGCAGGAGCCGGGGCCGCGGCGCGCGCGGGCCCTCCTCCCCGTGCCCCGTGCCCCGTGCCCCGCGCTCGCCCGCCCGCCCGCCCTCCGGCGCGCCAGCCCTCCCTCCCTCCTCCCTCCCTCCCCGGAGCGGCTCCGGTTCGGGCGGGTGTGTGTTGGGGGGGGAGGCCCTGCTGCCCCTCTGCTCCTCGGGAGGGAGAGGGGACGGTGGCCGGCCCCGCGCACCTGGCGCCCCTCCCTGAAGGGCACGCCGTCCTCCCGGCCCGCGCTTTCCCGCACCCCACCGTGTTCGGTGCCTAAGTAACGGTCGCGTCTCTGGGGTCCCCTCCAGGCTCCCCGACACGTCCCGCCCGGGCCCGGGCCTCTTTGCTTGTGTGCTTGTGCGCGCGCCGCGACCTCCCCTTTTGGCGGTGTCCCCTCTCGCCGCTCCGTGCCAAGCACGGTTCTGGTAGCCGAACCGGGTCTGGCGGGGCTCGCTGGGCCAAGCATTCTAGCACTTTGGCCGACATGGAAGCTTTATTCTGCCCGAGCGCCTCGTCTTGGGTCTTCACCACGGTTTCTTGCGTTTTTAAGCGGCCACCTAAGTGCTTGGTCATCGAGGTCCCTCTTTCCTCCCCAGTTGTCCGGCCGCGTGAGACACCTGTCTGTCTGAGCTGGGGCCGCTGGGCTGCCCTGACACTAGACCGGGCTCTTCCCGGTCCATATGTCCCCACTAGACGGGACAGCTGCAGGTCATTGCCCCTCACAGTTTACCCAGAATTCTTTCCCTTAATTTTTTTTTTTTCAAGTTGAAAGCCCCTTCTGTGTCCCCTCTTAGACCCAATAGTTACTACAGTTCCCAAGCAGCTTGCAGTGTTGTGCCTGGGAGATGCTAAATAAATACTTGGTGGCCAGCTCTTTCCTCCACCCACCCCGGTCCTCCCCTCTGCTCAAAGTCCTACCTTTCCGGAAAAGCCCCTTCCCAGCAGCCATTGCCCCTCCAAGCTGGCACGCCACTTTCTGCTCAAGCCCCCGACCCATTTAGGACCAGTGTCTGGTTTGGTCTGGCATCTACCCATCCAACTGTTTCCGTTGCAGCAGCGCCCGGCCAGCCACCCTCCCTTCCAGATCAACTTTTTACTAATAGGTTATACATCAGTATCCCGAATTTGGAGAGGATTTGAGGAAGTTGGCTTATTCTTTCTGTCCGTTGGCCGGGTGGGCCCTGGTTCTTGAGTGTCCCACATGGGGATTCTAGTAAAATTTTTGTGTGCTCATCTTTGTTGACCCGCTCTGTCAGGTAGCAGGTGTAAATTAGTGGTTTGTGGGGGTAGTGAAGAAGAGACCCCAAGCTGACCCTAGCCTGTTACATGTTTTTTGTTTTTTTGTTTTTTTTTTTTTTTGGCTTTTGGGATAGGAAACAGACCAATGGTGAGGTCAAGGCACTTGGTTTGCAAGCCTGTTGGCCAGGAACTCACTTCAGGTGGGAGTCAAGACCAGACTCCACAGAGCTGTCCTCTGCCCCCATGTGTGCCCCTCCTCCGCATCACACAATCATAATAAAACGAGGGGAAAGGGAAGCAAAGGTGGCACAAAAGTCTGAGGAAGGAAGGGCTCTGGTGTTAGAGCACTTGAGCCAGCATGAGGACCAGAGCTTGGATCTCCAGAGCCACACACAAGCTAGGTGACCATGGCGGCTCGCCTGTCATTCCAGCCGTCCCAGGAAGACAGATCCCCCTTGCAAGAGGGCTAGCTAGACTCGCCAAAAAGAGTATATTCTGCCTTGGCGAGAGCCCCTGCCTCAATTAACACGGTGGGGAGCAAGTGAAGATGCCAGGCATCGGCCTCGGGCCTCTTCGTTGCTGTGCGTGTGCATCTACACGTGAATTTAAACAGGTAAATGGACACCATACACATGTGCAAAACGTGAAAGTCTTAAGAAAAATCTTGGCTTGGAAGCCTCTGCCACTCATGGGAACATTCAGGAAGCAGGAGGGCTGCTCTAGGTGTGAGGCCAGTTTCGGGTACAGTTTGGGACCTTGTCTCAGCAAGCCTCGTCAGCCCCAAGTCGAAGAAAGAATTAAAATGGCTTCAGGCTCAACATAGGAAGCCCGAACTTGCAGGATGGCTCCCGCCACCTATCAGATCTCTGTCAGTCCGGGGTAGTGGTGAGGGTGTCGGGGTGCCCGTCAGGGAAGCTGTAACTTCATTTTCTATGTACTGGAGTCCCCTGGCTAGGCGAGTTGACAGAAGGGATCAAATGAGGTAAAGCGTGAAAATGCTTTGAAAACTGTGAAGTCAATTCACAATTGCCAAGTGCTGGGCTTGCTTGTCACTGTGGTGGAGTAGAGCAGGGGTAACTGCTGCCCTGGGGCTGCTGGGGGCCTGTAGCCCTTCCTCCCCACCACACATGGAGAATGCATACACACGATGTCTCCACTCAGCCATCCTGGGAAAGTTGCCTTCTACAGACTGGGTGACTGGGTGATTGCTCAAGTGGGGGAGCATTTGGGTTTTGACTCTTGTCAGCCGTGGTACAGGATGGTGCCAAGTTACATTGTTTTAGATGGGGGCAGAGTTAGGGGTTATAGAGTAAGGAAGCATTGGCCTGAAGTGGTCAGCTTGTGTTTGTAGTTCTGGGCACAAGAGGAGCGGCCCAGGGTCCCCGAGGAAGCTGCCAGTCAGCTCCAGCTCCAGCCTGTGCTTCCAGCAGGGCTCACGCTCACTCTTTTAATACTGAGAGCGCACAGATGCTGGGGGAGTTGAGGTGGGCTGTGGGGAGGGGGCCTTGCAAAGCAGAGGTGACCTGGGAGGAAAAGATTCTTCACCTAGGCAGCCAGTAGAAGGTGAGGTGGGAAAAGATGAGGTCCCCAACTCAGCTGCCCTCCTGTTTTCTTTCTTAGAGAGAGGCTTGGTTGCTTAGCTTGGAGGGGTAGGCAAACAGATTGTTTTGTTCTCATTTTTAAAGTATGTGTCAGTGTGTCTGTCTGTTTCATGGTGGGGGGTGGTGTCAAGGGACAACTTGAAGAAGTTGGTCCTCTCTTTCCACCATATGGGTCCTGGTGATCAAACTCGGGTCATCAGGCTTGGCCACAGACTCCTTTATCAGCTGAACCATTTCTCCAGCCTGATGCTGTTGCTTCTCCTCCTAAGGGCTCTGGACTTTCTCACTGGACAGTGCAGTGAGGGAAGCCTTTACTGGCTCATGAGGAACAAGGGAGCCCACAGGCCTCCCTTATTTTAAATGTTCCACTGCCTCCCCTGGATACATGCTGAGTGACAGGCCTGCACTATCTGCCTGATTTATGCCTTGCTGGGGATTGAACCCAAGGCCTTGTGCATGCTAGACAAGAATTCTCCCAAATGAGCCACGTTCCCAAGCCGGCCATATGCTTCTTTGTGCTGGGTTGTCCTCTGAGTTGTGCGGTGGCCCACAGCATCCCTGGTCTCCACCTGCTAGCAGCCAGTCGTACCCTTCTGCCCAGCTGACAGCCTGGTGTCTGCAGTCATAGTCCGTAGTCCTCAGGGAGTTGAGTCTCCCTCAGTCAAGAGCACATGGCTTCAGGCAGCACGCAGTGGACTGCCTGCTGCTCCCTGGGTCCCTTCAGTGTGAGGAGGAAGCCCAGTACTGCTGAGTTCTGGGCACTTCTCTCTGGCTAGTTTGCAGGCCTGAGAACCTACACGCTTGCCTTGGGTCTTCCCCTGCCTTTGCAGTGGCCCTGTTACATCCACATTGCCACTGCTTATTCTTTTTCTATTTTCATTTGTTCTTTTTAAATTAAGCATGTCCTTGTGTCCACCTCCCACCCCACCATTCAAGCTGTGTGTGTGTGTGTGTGTACACACGTGTACATAGTGTGCATGGAAGTCTGAGGATAACTTGGATGACACGCTTCTCTCCTTCCACCACGTAGATCCTAAGGTATCCGATTCACATCTTCAGGATTGGCTGCAAGCCCCTTTACCAGGCTGAGCTGTATTGCCAGCCCTCCTTCCTTAGACTTTCCAGTCAGGGAGGCTCCATGAAGGGTGGGAGAATGCACGGTTGAGGGTAGGGCACCTGCTGGACAGCGCTCCCTCACTGCCAAGACCAGTGCCTGCTCCACCAGGACTGACTGAGTAGGCTCCAGATTGTTTGAAGGAGTGTGGGGTTCTTTGTTTGGAATGGGAACAGTGTCTAGCCCTCACGGTGGCTTTTCCCCTAAAGCCTTTTATGGGCTCATGCTCAAGAGGATGTGAAGACTGCAGGTTGTATCTTTCTCTTTTGCTCTCAACTTTATTGCTTGTTCAGTTTTTGTGTATATGCATGAATGAGTGTATACTCACATGGAGGTCAGAGAAAACCTCAGATGTTGGTCCTTCCACCTTGATGGAGACAGGGTCTCTTCTGGAGGCATCATTCATCAGCTGACTGGTCCATGAGCT